AACATGTATTTTTGGGAGCAACAATTCTCTGGAGCAATTCCCTCCACCTCCAGGAAAAGTTAAACAGTTAGGGGGAGGGTTCTTTGAGCCAACCACTTAATGTTTGTCCCATTTGATTTAATACAATTCCATTGATACTTGGAACCTGGCAGCCAGGCCGAAAGAATCATTGTTTCTGTGAAATTTGTCAGGATGACCTCAGTTTTATTTATTTATTTATTTATCTTTGGCAAAATAGACAAAATAGCATACACCGTATTTTTCCACTTTATGGAAAAGGAAGGAGAGGAAAAAAAAAATCTCCATGCCTGCAAGACTGCTGAGTCCATTTCAGATTGATACCCAACTCAGAGCAGTGGATAGTCTGTCCCAAGTGGCATTTGAAGCTGTTCTCACTGTAAGTGAAACTTGCTTGCTTTTTCCTTGGCATGAGGTTGGCAGAACTCCACCCAACGTTATCGCTTTCTTTCTTTATTTGTAATGAGATTTTTGACTTTATAATGTTCATGTTAATATTATCAAAGTAGGATGCAATTAAAATCAAACTTATTATGAATGCAGTCCTAGAAAAATCAAAGAGTTAAACAAAGCAAAGCTCAACAAGCTTATCAAAATATGATTTATTCCTGTTGGTCTGTCAATTTTTGAAGACAGGTGAACTTATCATGGAAGAACATTCTGTAATAAGGTGCTACCCCAGAGGAAGTCCTACAATTAGGAGTAAATAAGTTCAACTGAGTATGGGATGGCATTTAAATCAGCGTTTCTACATTTGACTCTAAAACAGGAGTGTCAAACTGGCAACATCACGTGTCGTGTTGCGCTGTATCATGACTTTTTTTCCATTGCCGGCAATGGGGTGGGCACGGTTTTGCCATGACGCATCCGGCCCACGGGCCGGCAGTTTGACACCCCTGCTCTAAAACAAAGGAGGGGGGGAAATCTATGAACAAAATTATTCTGCCTATTATTTAGGATTTTAAAAGGAAGATCAGCCCCTTGAATTTGGTCTGGAAACAGCCTGGTAACCAGGGAAGATCACTTAGAATGGACAACCAAATTCAAATTGCTGCATTCTGTGCTGGAGAAGTTTCTTAACTACTAGAGGTATCCAATATATAACGTATATAACTGTAGAGATTGACCTGAAAGTTTACCAAAACATGCAAGACAATGTTTTGCATGTTTTGGTAATCTTCAAACTAATCTTAATCTATCCCATAAATAATTACCCCAAAGCATTCTTCAGTGCATGAGCAAATAGGGTACCAGAGTGGTAGTTGCGTCAGTAGATGAAATGACCATTGCCAAAACATCTTGACAGAAAAAAATCTAAAAGATTAACTATCTTGATATCACTACTTTTTATACAACAGTAACAACATAGAGCAATGGAAATGCCATTTTTGTGTGAATGTGTGAATGCTTTTCTAAAAACCAAGTGTACAATTAGTCAAACACAAGCAAAATATCCTTCTCACATGTCAAAAAATAACCATTTGTCCCTTCTTCTGACTTGTCCACAGACGTACAAGGAGAATGCCATTATCAGCCATTATTTATTAAATAAATAAGGAATGCGTAAATAATTTGACAACCTCCAAGAGACCTCACAGGGAAGTATAAAAACCAGAGGTTGTCACAAAAATTGAAAGGAGTCTATATTCTGTAATTATTTTAATTAGTCATCGTAAGAATCCAATATATCCTCAACATGTAGTCTAAAACAAGGACATTAAATTTTATAAGACAGGACAAATTACTGTTTTATAAAATTTATTATGTTACAACACATTTTTTGCTACTTTTCCCTCATAAGAAAACACTACATAGTCCAGCAAGCTGTTGGCACTATGAATGAAACTCAGAAGTATTAATTAGCTGTAATAGTGAAGTGACAGTGGTAAGAAAACAGGAATTTGTAAATTTGTAAATGGTTAGTTATAAGCACAATGTGGTAAGTGATAAGTATAATAATGCTTTTTTATTATCACCATTTTAAATCTGCCCCCAAAAACTAAATTTTCAGGGAGGTATACGAATTAAAAACATAAATTGTAAAGTTGGAACATACCATTCAACAATTCTCCTATCCAGATGGAAAACTATCTAATGTTCATTGAAATTAACCAGGTACAGGTTAGGGTTTTTTTTCCAAGATATTAGGCATCTACATGTCTACTACAATAAGTTAAGGATTTATAAATTTCACTGATGACCACAAGATTGCCAAGAATATGGTTAAGTATTTCCAAGCACTGAATACTGAATTAATTTTGTGCACCTTATATACTTCACATTAGTCTAGTACCACTAAGATGGTAACACAATATCTGGTCTGCATTCTCCTAGAGAGAATGATACCAGGAAAAAAGAAATCTCTAAATGTAGGTATTTGATTTTTACTAACTCCCTTCTTTGAGTAGCCCTGACATACCTTTTTTACCCCAGGAGGAACTGGGCCATTCAAACAGATGTCATCTTGTTGATCTGCGTTACGCTGTTATAATGACAAAGCTGTTTGTCAATATAAGCAACCTGGGGTTTCAAGAAATGAAACACTTTCTTAGCAAGTAACTGTCATATTGGTCAATTCTTCATTTATTCTAATATGCCATAATTCTATAAAAACGTATCAGGCACAAAGAATGCAAATCATTGCTAAATTTAAAAAGTCGAGATGAAGGAAAACAATTTCGCTGGTTGTCTGGTTCTATAGCTCACTTACTGAAAAAAAGTAAATGAACCCTTCATTCACCTTTTTGTCTTCACTATATTACCTATGACAGGAACTGGATGTCACAAGCAAGCCACAATCTGCAGGTAACACCTTTCCTTCACTTTGAGGAAAATGACTTTAAGCACCAAACTCAACGAGAGGGACTGTTCACACCATAGCTAAGGTCTTAAGCACTATGATTCAAATAACGATTGAATCTCAGCTTTATACAAAAGAAAAGATATGCCAGAGACTCATCTTGTTCTCCTCAATGCACTACATGACAAAACACTAAATGCATCTACAGTATTTCTGCCCCAACAGCATTAAGCGACATTAATCTTTGTAAAATATTAACTTCAGGGAGAAATGTTCACAGATGTTGTCCGTTCAGCTCATAGAAAGGGTTCTCCAGGAAATAAGATGGGCACAGTTACCCCAGGATTGCATATGCCATTGTCCTAAAACAAGTTCAGGGTAATTACATTTTTGGAAAGACAATCTGGATTGGAACTGTGCCCCACAAACTGACTCCATTAGAAAAGCTAAAAGGAACAAAATGTATGGGTCTCAAAGAGTCATAAAGTTTACTTTTAGCCTGGAATCATTTGAAAACTATGTTCTCTGATCCTACCATCAGCTCTGTAATCTCCATACCCCCAACACCCCCGCCTTTAAAAATAACATATAAATGACTCTTAAAAACAATAGTGGCTCATTGTAGAGGAATGCGTGGCTCAGAGAATTATCCCCATCTCTCCTGGCTGCTTCAGGAAGATGGCAGTGTTGCTCTGGGATTCTTGGGTTACAGATCAAGCCTTCTCCTTTTCAGTGAATGGCTCTGCACCATTAGCATAAGACAGTATACTAATGGATTGTGAGGAATGAGTTATTCTCATGAAATGTAAGATTACATTGATAGAGAAACCACAGCAAAACCCTGTTCCCAAATCATGGAGAACCGAGCCAGGCAAAGCCTCTTACATTTGTACACAGTTCTCTGGAGTTTTTAAGCAGCTGCCAATTTTCTATTTTCTAAGCAAACATTGCAACTGACCACCCAGCTGTCTCACACGTCCTGATAGTACCCGAGTGCATTAGCATCAGGATCTTCTGATCTTCTTGTTATCTCTGATGTAGCAGAGATCAAACCCAGCTGCCACCATCTCCGTTTCCCATATTGAGTGGGTGACATTCTGGAATGAGTTGCACCCTACAAATGTAGACTGTGAGTGCGCTGTGCATTCACTGGTCACACACAGAGATATCCTTGGGTGGCAAGAACAGAATGCTTTCAGAAGTGGTAATAGTTTTCATCACAGCCAATAAAAACAAAATATCAAGACAAGTGGGTGCGGAAGAATCTTCCTTTCTCTTGTATGCTATGATACTGCACTTACGCAAAATGACCCTGATGCTATTTACAGATGCTACCTACTCAGTCAAAGGATGGTCTCTTGTCCTTGTTCACCATCACTCACCTTTGTTCCTGTTGCAGGTCCGCAAAGAACAAGCCCTGAATGGGGCTTCAACCCTCTGTGGAGATCTGGTATATGTTTTTTGTAGCAAAGCTTCAGAAAATGGCAATCAGTCGCTTGGCTCTAGCTTTATTTCTCTGGTGATGTCATTTTAAATATTTTGCATGTTCCATTTGTTATTTGTACTTCTAAAAAAAATGATGCCTTTCTGCAATTCATGTTTGTCCAATTAGTCACAACTTTAAAGGAAGAAAGCTGGCTGCCTAGATGTTGGAATAATGCATAAAGGCCGGCATACACGGGACAGCACCTGACTTGAACAGATGGGAGGAGATACTCTTATTGTAACAACCAGCCTTATGGATTTTTGATCCAGTTCTCTCTCTCTCTCTCTCTCTCTCTCTCTCTCTCACACACACACACACACACACACACACACACACACACACACACATATATATATATATATATATATATATATATATATATATATATATATATATATAATTTCTCCTAGATTAGGAGAGTTCAGAATGATAGCTGAATTCTTTTTTTTTTTAATAAGCTAGACTATCGACATAAATCGTAGGCAGCGAAAGAACAGAAAGAGAGGGAGCAGATAAAAAGGACTGATAGACACGCATTCTTCATCTGCTGCACAGTCTCTGTGATAGCAAAAGCCCATGACAGCTTTACAACTCCTTGGTTATTTTACTTGCATGCTGCTTAATGAGAAACAGCCTCTAGCTGAGGTTTACTGAAAAGGAAAGTTTTAGGAGAAATTCTTGCTGTGTTAGCCCTACCTGATCTGAATTTGCTCCGAATCAGCACAGAATGCTCAGACCCCAGAAGTGTCATGGTGAAGCCTTGTGAAAATTCCCAGGGTCAGAAAGCCCCTCGGTTCAAATCATAAACCGGCACCAAGAAGAGAAGCTGACCACAACCAAAGGATCACAATTCATCTAGCCCTCCTTGGAGTATAGGTGACTGCAGAAAGCAGCAGAAAAGTTTGGGAAGTTTGGTCTCATCCAGCACTAACCCGCTACGAAAACCTACTGCATGCCTTTGCACTGTGTTGGGCTAGTTAACATCAGCAAGCAGACCCCTCCTTTCTATCCACCCCCTCCCCTCCTTTCTCAAAGTTTACTATCAGCAACATCACCGGGTGTCCTGACTGATGTCATAGTCTAGCAGGGAGCAGACTATTCCTAAAGGGTCCTTAGGAAAGACAGAAGTTTGATATCTGATCCGCTATTACTACCAACAGGAACTTGGCCAATCAAGGCTCTCGCTCCCTCTGACTGCAGGGGTTCAAAGCAACTCTGAAATATCAACAAGACTCCTGCTTAACTCTTTCTGTGATGCTGAGCTGTTGCAACCAAAGGCGTTAGGGACATGGCTTTTACTGGGCAGTTTGATAACTACATTCCAAGGACTCCAGCAGAGATTTGTAATTGGCAGTGAGGTTCTGTGTCAGGCTCACTCTTCTTTTCTATTTCTGTTATTCTAGTACTACAGATAAAAGATATTAATAAATTCACCGATGCCACAAAAAATAATGATCAAAAACTCATCAAAGTCAGATTTTATGTGCAGATATGGCTTTATACCATCAATATTGAAAACACAGGTTCTGGTTAAGTCCAGAACTTGCAAATTTCTCCCTACTCTACCCAGTTCAAGAAACATGTTTAAATTATTGTCAGCCAGCTGAAAAAGAAGCCTTAAATTGAAAGGTCTATATCTATCTATCTATCTATCTGTCTATCTATCTATCTATCTATCTATCTATCTATCTATCTATCTATCTATCTATCTATCTATCTATCTATCTATCTATCTATCTATCTATCTATCTATCTATGAGTGAAAGTAAGAGGATAACATATTCCGGAGTATCATTCTTTCAAACTCAGGGCAGGATTTTCATGCAGCTTTACTCCTTGTTAGTTCTTAACCCATGTCTATTTTTAAATGTTTGCAGTATTCCCCGCCCCCCCCCCCAAATTTGCTTGTTATTTCCATGCACACTATCTTTCAGCTGCGGTACAATTTATGTACATTTATCTGTATAATGCTTCAGTCACAAATATTTCACGAACCAGGAATATGTACTGCAAGGAGGAAGGCACAAAGAACTCTACCACAATCTTCAACCTTTATGGCAATGGCATCTCAGAAGAATGAACTAAGATTACCACATTGATTGCCCTCTCCACCTGACTAATGTCTCTTTACAGCATTAGCTGGAGAAAAAGGAGAGCCAAGACTGGGGGTAGTTAATTCTGTCCTATCTTTGTGCCCACCCAATGTTGATGTTTTAACTTTCTGAATGGGGAATTCACAATTAATTAAGCAGTAATTTTGATCTGCCTCCTCTGCCAAAATCTTTCTCAGTTCTCTTTTGATAGTTTCCCAATGGAAATGCACTTTTCAAGATACCCTTCAAATATAGACATTTGTGCTGTATGGAGATGCAGAAAGAAAACGGGAGTGTATTTCATACCATTTTCATAGTATTCTTATGGACATGCCCTGAAGCTGAAAAGGTACTTTGAAGTGGACATGGCAGCCTCTTGTTGCATCTGTTGGCACTTTTTAAGTCAAAGCTATATTTTCCTGAAATTGTATGGATGCTGGGCAAGCAAAAGAAAAGGCACAGCTTCTTTATGGATATTAGGACTAGAATAACAGAGTTGAAAGGGACCTTGTAGGTCATCTAGTCCAACTCCCCATCCAAGCAGGAGATCCTATTTCTGATAGATGGCAGTCCAGTCTCTTCTTGAAAACTTCCAGTGATGAAACTCCCACAACATTTGAAGGCAAACTGTTCCGTTGGTTGATTGTTCTCACTGTCAGAAAGTTTCTCCTTATTTCTAGGTCGAATCTCTTCTTGATCAGTTTCCATCCATTATTCCTTGTCTGATTTTCAGGTGCTTTGGAAAATAAGTTGAGCCCTTCCTCTGTGACAGCCCCTCAAATATTAGAACACTGCTATCATGTCTCCCCTGGTCCTTTTCTTCACTAGACTAACCATATCCTGTAACCGTTCTTCATATGTTTTAGCCTCCAGTCCCCTAATCATCTTTGTTGCTCTTCTCTGCACTTTTTCTAGAGTCTCAACATCTTTTTTATAGTGTGGAGGCCAAAACTGGTTGCAGTATTCTAAGTGTGGTCTTACTAAGGCTTTATAGAGTGGTATTAGTACCTCACATGATCTTGATTGAATCCTTCTGTTAATGCAACTTAGGATTGCATTGGCTTTTTTGGCTTCTGTTGACAGATATAATGTGTACCCCTACATCCATTTCAAAGCACCTTTGTAGTATCAGATCTGAAACCCAGCTTATCTTTAGGTTTTAGTGTTATAAATAATTACCTTTATTTTGAATGTAGATGTTTGCTAAATGTGCAAACTCTCATTTGTATGTTGATCTCAGTAAGCTCGAAGCTTCTGGAGTTGCAGATAAAGGATCAATACTGTAGTAGTTCTCCCACTGCTCAGTTCCTATCAGATATGGATTATGGTCAAGCAGACTGAGATGAATTTCCGCACAAGCATTCTAAGACAGGACAAAGCCTGCTTTGAAACTATACAATCCCATAACAATTGTAGTGAAAGAGAGCCAAACTGACTGAATTCTGGTTTAGTTGATATATATAAAATTGCTGCAAAATTACTCTTTTCTTTGAAATGCATAGGCTCTATATGACCTATAGGCAACACTGTTTCCTCAGTTGCTCATCTCCTATGCTTCAGGTCTCTAACAGGTCTTTTAAAGGGATAGGCATTTAGTTGGCTTTGCAGCTCTCCTTCATAGGAACTGCTCAGAATTATTTTTGCATGCAGTCAGATGCATACAACATTAAATAAGGATGAGGAAAAAGGGGTGTGACTATTCATATAACAGTTTTGTGTCCAGTAGGAGTTTCTGTGGGATCCATAGTGCAGTACAATGTTATGTGGTCAGGATTATTATTTTTGTTCTTACTCAGTACTGCAATGTTGTAGAAAGAGACGGTGATCACAGATCACCTTCAAAGTGGTTTTGAGGAATAGGGGGATGGAAAGGACATAAATATCCTCAAGATACTTGAGGATGAGATTCTGCTCTATCTCCTGCATGGAATTTTACCAGAGGAAAGTGGAGAGAGTTCCAGAATGATATATTTAGTGGTGGGATTCAGCCAGTTCACACCACTTTGGCAGAATCGGTAGCTATTTTTTTTTTTTTTTGCCCAGGCCCAGAATGGACTTCTGGAAGCGGCATCCACACAGAGAATCGGTTGTTCACATATTTGAATCCCACCACTGGATATATTTCAAGGCATCTCATGTTTTATGGTTTTTTATTGTCTTTTGCCACTCAAGAATCCTTTAAGAAGAAAAGATGGAAGTAGTCACACAATGCGTTTGGACTGATAGCATTATGAGCCAACTATTTGGAAACACCCTAAGATTAGACTACTAGAACAAATTTATTCTAGGCACATTAGTAGCCCAGGGAATGTTTGCAATTGACAACACACTCCCAGAAAATGCTTTCTCTGCTTTTTTTTTTTTTTAAAGTCACTACTAAGCTGTCTGATGTTTCCATCATAATATTTACTTCTTGGTAAATAGGCTAAAAATCTTCACGTCTGATTCAGAACTGTAAGATTGGAGAATGAAAAGAGCAAGATGACATAGCTGTTTAAAAAACCCTGCAAAATGTTTTCTGCCTAGCATAAATATTTAATCGTTTTTTTAAAAAATGGCAATCTGTTGTGTTTATTAAGGGAGGGATGCAACATACGAACTAAGTGCAGGGTGGGGTAGGCTGGCTTTGCTACTACAAATTCTGTTCTTCTGGAAGATCATTGTCCATGCTTCTTAATCCCCAGGCCAATGTAGCCTTGGTGGGCTCTTTTGAAATGTCCTCATGGGAACTCTCTAGAATACACATTGAAGACCCAACAGCTAATAGGAGGAAAGGGCAGCAGTTAAAATACCAATTGGGGGGGGGTTTGCCCTTTCCCCCATCTATAGTACATATTTTATAAAGCATTCCCAGAGAAATACTCAACTCAAACAAATTACCTATCTATCTAGAAGCCCAAACCTTATAAATGGCATTGCCAGTTTTGAAAAATGAAGTCTTCTTTTCTTTCAAAGTTATATCCCGATCATTTCTAGAATGAGCATCCATCAAATTCAGTTTCATTGGTTTAAAAATACTATTATTTCAATTATTTGAAACGCTTTTGTAAAAGCCAGCTGAGGTACAGAAATATAGAGAAGCCATCAGATCCAAAGCTCAGGTAGCATTAGCAATTAAAGGAAAAACTAGCATTTATTTCACTGGAAAACAAGCCTAATACACAGTGCAAACCATCCATTGTTCTTGCTTTCTTGCATTGTGCAAGGAAACAATGATGTAATCTGTGAAATAGGCAAAGCAAATACTGAAATACATCTGTAAAGTAACCACTGTAAAGATATAAAACCTCATAAAGAACTGTGAAATGTCTCCTTAGCCAGATATGGTTCTTGAACTGCTGAAGCAACAAAAAGAAATTGAATCAGCATTGAGAACACAAGCAACTTCTCCAAAGGCAACGCAATCTTCACTGTCAAGGTAGTCACCTAGAATAACAGAGTTGGAAGGGACCTTGGAGGTCTTCTAGTCCAACACCCTGCTCAGGCAAGAAACCCTATACCATTTCAGACAAATGGTTGTCCAATCTCTTCTTAAAAACTTCCAGTGTTGGAGCAATCACAACTTCTGGAGGCAAATTGTTCCACGGAATAATTGTTCTAACTGTCAGGGAATTTCTTCTTAGTTCTAGGTTGTTTCTCTCCTTGATTAGGAGAGGTTGCTTCTCTCCTAGATTGCTTCTCTCCTTGATTAGATAACAGCATGAACTGATATCTGGAAAAGCTGTCTCTGAACCTACAGAACTGTTGTAATGATAAAATGATGGTCATCAAATTTGTCTCTCTGAGGTCTTATAGGATGGATGGGAATTAATTAAATGATGTAAGCCACCCAAAGTCACCTATGTGTGAGTTGGGCATTTAATAAATAATAATCTTATCTGCAGTATTACTTTGCCATTAATGTATGCCCTTTGTGAAGGCAAGCTAACCTCCCTCATTAAAATAGGAAAGTGGAAGAAAATAGGAAAGGAAGGATCAAGCTAGGAAAGAGAGAGATGCTAAATGTGCATAAGATCAGAATTTTATGGGATCTGATAGTGCTGATGTACCCCTACCATCTTTCTGCATAGAAGTGTAGCATTTGCCTAGTGTTCTTTT